TCCTCTTGTCTCTTTCGATAATTTTCGTTACTATGTTATTTTTGTGGACTATTTTACCAAATACTCGTGGCTTTATCCAATTAAAAATAAATCCGATGTTACCACAATTTTTGAAAAATTCAAAACCCTCACAGAAAATTATTTCTCGACCACAATTAAAACCGTTTATACAGATGGAAGTGGCGAAGCAATTAGCCTTGGTCATTTTCTCTCTCGGACGGGCATTCAACATCTTAAATCTCCACCTCATACTCCTGAACATGTGGGTACTGCTGAACGCAAACATCGCCACGTTGTTGAAACAACGCTCACTTTACTTCATCATGTATCTATTCCACTCAAGTATTGGTCCTTGGCCTTTCAAGCTTCCGTTTACCTCATTAATCGTATGTCCTCTCCTGTCACAGATAATAAATCTCCTTACTTTCACCTTTTTCGGCAGACACCAAATTATTCATCACTCAAAGTATTTGGTTGTCTTTGCTATCCATGGCTACGACCATACTCCTCTCATAAATTAGAACCACGATCTCGTCCTTGTGTATTCGTCGGTTACTCAATTCCTCATCACGCATATCTCTCTGCCTTGATCCATCTATGAACAAAATATTTGTCTCTCGACATGTAATTTTCGTGGAAAATATTTTGCCCTTTAATAAACCTAATTTGCCCACTAAGCCATCTCTCAGTAATGCATTGTTACTTAAATCAAATATCACGCATGCTCGTACTTCTACTTCAACTAATCCCCTCTCACCATCTCTCGCAACCAACCCACATATATCTCAAATTCCTGTCTCTTCCACCCCATCGATGGAAAAACAGTCTTCTCAAAATCATCACACTGATTTACAAGGTGGACCAACTTCTGAAGCTTTAAACCACGACCACTCATCTGCACACACCTCCTCCATATCTCAACCCAATGATGCATCCAATTCTTCACAGGTTAGTACTTCATCTCATATATCTCCTAACTCTTCTCCCACTATTAACGAACCCCATCACTATAACACTAGACTGCGTAATAACATTATAAAGCCCAAACAGATCCTTAGTCTCAACTCTACCGTCGCCACTCCTAATACCGAACCTACAACCTTTAAACAAGCTCAAAAACATCAAGTATGGCGTCTAGCCATGCATGATGAATATACTGCCTTAATTTCCAATAATACATGGACTTTGATTCCCCGTTCTCCAACACAAAACATTATTGGGTGTAAGTGGGTCTACAAAATTAAGAGGAATCCTGATGGGTCGATAGCTCGTTATAAAGCTCGGTTAGTAGCAAAAGGGTTTCATCAACGCCCTGGAATTGATTTCGATGAAACTTATAGTCCTGTTGTTAAACCAGCAACAATTCGGATACTCCTTTCCATTGCTGTGACTAACAATTGGCAACTTCGTCAACTTGATGTGAATAACGCGTTCTTGCAGGGATCTCTAACTGAGGAAGTATTCATGGAACAACCTCCTGGGTTTATCAAACACGATCTTCCTAATCATGTTTGTAAATTACGAAAAGCCATGTATGGACTTCGACAAGCTCCTCGTGCTTGGTATCATGAACTTCGTCAGTTCCTTATCTCTAAAGGGTTTACAAATTCTCTTTCTGACACATCCCTATTTATGCTTCACTCTTCGACCTCAGTTCTCTATTTGTTGGTATATATGGATGATACTATAATTACTGGATCGTCAAGTTCTCATATGAATGCTTTCATCTCCATACTTGCGCAACGTTTTTCTCTTAAGGATCTTGGCAGGCTTTCTTATTTTCTTGGAATTGAAGCGCACCATACAGAAACATGTCTCTTTCTATCTCAAAAGAAATATATACGAGATCTCCTGCATCGTTTTCATATGGCTGATGCTAAGTCGGTGTCTACACCTCTTGCCACCAATGAAGCTCTTAAACTCTCTGATGGTTCACCGCCAGCTGATGCCACACTATATCGCCAAGCTCTTGGATCGTTGCAATATCTTTCTTTAACACGCCCCGATGTCTCGTTTGCCATCAACAAGCTTTCTCAGTTTATGCATTGTCCTTCATCAATCCATTGGTGTGCCGTCAAACGTTTGCTCCGTTATTTAGCAGGGACTCTTGACTACGGTCTGGTTCTACGTAAGAATTCCCCTCAAACTCTTCATGCCTTTGCAGATGCAGATTGGGCTGGAGACCCTAATGATCGAACATCGACCTCCGCCTATGTAGTCTTTCTGGGTGCAAACCTAATCTCTTGGAGTTCAAAGAAACAAAAGACAGTTGCTCGATCTTCTACTGAGGTTGAATACCGTGCAATCGCCTCCGCCGCAGCTGAGGTCAATTGGGTCATGAATCCTTTTCAAGAGCTACGTGTGCCTCTATCTCCTACTCCGGTCATCTATTGTGACAATATAAGTGCTACATACGTCTGATCCCATCCT